AGGCCCATGCCCACCAGCCACCCGACCAAGCGCAGCAACTCGAGGCATTCGAGAAGTACCCGCCTTCATGCCCGTGTTTTCGTGCTGTCGCGATGAAGCTGGAGACAGTGGGCGCGCTGTTCCTCGGGGTGTATACTTGCGGGCATTCCGCGGATAGGCGCCACGGTGCTCAAGCCGCATGCGGCGGTCAAGGCGAGGCGCCCAGGCTGAGGGCGCGTGATCCCCCCCTCCTATCCCCTTTCCCTTCTCTTCCTCCTTCGCCTCCCCTTTGCTTCGCCTCGGGCCTCGGTGCGAGTGTTGCGACGGGCGGCCCGTGGAGTACGAAATGCTCCTCCTCCTCCTCCTCCTCCTCCTTCTCCCTCCTCCTTCTCCTTCCTCCCCCTCCCCCCTCCTCCTCCGTGCCGCAGCACTCCCTGCAAAGAGATGTGGGGGCGCGGCGCGTCTACTCGGCCTGTGAAGACAGAAAGGTGTAATTCGTGAGTTTTTGCCCGTGGAGGCACGAGGTGATTCAGCCGAAGTCCATGGCTTGCCCCGCATGTAATGTACAGGCTCAAAGCTTGGAGGCACGGCAGTCGCATGTGTGTGCTCATCATCCTGGGCCTGCCAGGGCTCGTTTGACACGTGACGCCGAGGGCCGAGTCGGAACGCCAGGTGGGGAGCAAACTCCGGCGGGGCAATGACGCGCGTGCGCAGATGGCGTGGAGAAACACAGGCGCGGCGGCTACGGCTTCAGGCGGGGCGCCGCAAGGACCTGCACGCGTTGGCTTAGGCGGAGGCGCAGGGCAGTCGTCGGAGAAGGGCCAGATGGGCACGGGCGCATCACAAGTTCCAGAATTTCAGGGCGGCACCAGAGCTCCAGGCAGGGACGGCGTCGACATGGTGGACGCGGTGCTTTCGTTGCAGAAGATGGGGCTGAGGCACGATTTGATATCGCGCGAGCACGAACACATGTCGTGTTTGTTCTTATTGGTCCCGAAGAAGACTAGCGTGGTGAAGATGGGCTTGCAGAGACGGCAGGACTACTACGCGGCGGTGTCAAGCAGGGGGAGAGGGCATCGTTTCGGGCCCCTCCTACCTTCACGTGGCCGCGGCAGCGTTCGACGGGCTGGCTCATCGAGGACTGTTCGGTAGGGCCCCGCAAGGACGTGCTGGTGGCAAACCAGAAGCTTTTCAACCACGAAAGCGGCCCGAAGCTCGTGAAAGGGTTCCTCGGCATGTTGAAGCTGAAGGATGCGTACAGCGAGGACGGGGCGGAGGACAAGGACATCCAGGTGAATGTGAGCTTACATATCAATGCCACTAGCGCGAGTCCAGTAGAACAGGACTTAGGGGTTTTCTGGCCGCGCCCTCGTCGGTTCACTTTCAGCAAAAGGGGACTAACGGGTCGGGCGGCCGCGCCGTCGTCATAATTCCCACCCCCTCCCCTTCGCTGCAATATCCCGTTTTTCGTGACCCCTCTTAGCCCCCCCTTCATATTTTTCCTGGTAAGCCCACCTCGTTGGTTCTGACGGCTCTTGTGTTTGAAATGATTGATTCTCCTGTGATATATCAATCCGATGGCGGACGTGGCGACGATGATCGAGTGAATGAAGGCGAAGGTGGAGTGCGACACCCCGCCCCTCGGCATCCTGAGGAGGGCGACCATGGCGGCCTTCGACCAGGCGGCCGCGGTCGCGGGAGAGGGGCCAGGACCCGATGACGAGCTCGCGCGAGTAGTGGAGTAGTAGAAGTAATTCGGCGTGGTGTTGCCTGCAACACTGTACATTGTGAGAGGCTACGGAGTATGACTGCAAGCGGCAGTAGTCATGCACAACGTATGCTAGAGATACCCAATCGTTCGGGTGGGGACTGGCGCACGAGGCGGGCAGGTCCATCCCCACCATCGGCATGAGGCGTGAATACCCCAGTGTCGACGCGGCACCGCACTAGGGCCGCGGGGCTCTATGCAGGCACCGCAGGCCCGCTACGAACGCATGCGCATATTGGAGAGCGGGACCACCCCATGTCGCTCGCAGGGGGCATCTATTCTGGGTAGCAAGCGAAGCGATCTGGCCCGCTGAGGCGAAGCAGACGTTGCCCCCCAAGCGCGTAGCATATCATACAATGATATCACACATCATAACATACCATGCCATGACCTATACTATCACAGCAGACCATGCCATGTCAAAAACATAGCATGTCGAATCAGGTCATATCACACAATGCCATGCCATATCATAACAAATCATATCATATCAACACATATCATATCAGACCACGCCATATCACATTAAATCATATCACACCATACTTTTGTGGGCCCCGGAAACGGCAGGGCCGTTTTTTCACCGTTTCCAAGAAGTGCCCCTTAAAAATGGAAACGGCAAAACAACGGCGACCGAAAACGGCAAAACAACGGCTCCAGGATTGGAGCCGGAGCCGGAACCGGTCAAGCAACTGCTACGGAACCGGTAAAACAACGGCGTCGGAACCGGCAACAAAAACGGCAAAACGGAACCGGTAAAAAAACGGCCTTGTCGTTTCCAGGGCCCACTAAGCACCATACCATACCATATCAGTTCATATCATATCCTCTTCCTCCTCCTTCTCTTTCTCCTCCTCTTCCCCAGAGGCTGAGGGCTGTCGGGTCCGCGGGCGAGCAGTGCGCACCCACTGCCCAGGAGCGGAGGTGCGGGGTCAGCGCCTGGATCGGGGTTTCAGTTGAGCGGAAGATCGGGACAAATCGGAACCAGAGATTCTGGGAGAGTTCCAGAGAAAAATAGAACGCCGATTTGTGGAGCGTCGCGCGCGCGCATTCGCAGAAGTTCCCAAAGAGTGTTCGAGGGCTTGAGGAGCCCAAGTAACACATGGGCGCTCAATTGAACTGTTGAGGGCGGGCAGAAAATCTGGTGTGCACGAGCATTGTGAGCGGGTGCGCGGCTTGCACGGGGGGCGCAGTAGGTTTGCGTTTCAGGGACTTGGGCGCCGGCCAATGCGCTGATGGGGGGCCCGAGAATGCGTCACACATATTACGCCTGTGGCGCCATGGAGGCCGCATTTGCGGTTGCCGGTGGGCGGGCGCCCCGCCGCGCGCACCGCGGCGACAGCTCTCTTGGGCGCCCGCCCGCCGCCGTGGACGTAGTGGACCAAGCTAGTCTCTCGGTCGGCGCGCGGCGGGTCGGCAGCCACGACGCTGGCGGCTTGAAAATGCTTCGAAAGTGTTTCTCCCCGAGCCCGGGGGTATTGTACGTTTTCGGTGGCACGTGCAGCTCGGAGAAAAATCGCCTTGTCCGTCGGCGGCCAGTTGGCTGTCGTCGCGCAGAAGTACCGGCGGATGGCGCGGTCCACGCTCAGCGCAGAGAGCGCGTCCATGAGCGTGGACTCGTCGAGGGGCAGGAGGAAGGACCTCGCGGTCGGGACCATCGCGGCCCGCGATGTCCACGGCCCCCACCCTGGGCGCGCGAGGACCTGCTGGGCGCCGCCGCAGCGCGATCTCAGAGGATCTCGGAACCAGAAATCCGGGCGCGCCGAATTTCGCGGGCCGAAAAACTCTCAGAGAGTTTCGGCCAGCTCCGAGGTTTTGGGTTTATGGGAATGTTTCACGCGGGGTGGCTAGTCCAGAGATTTTCAGAGATTCTCAGAGAAGTTCGGACGCGAGAATTTGGCGCGCCCCGGTTTCTGGTTCTGTGAATCTCTGAAAAGCGGTTCCTTAGGTTTTACCGGGTCTCCAGGCGTCCTACTGTCAGCCAGAGACGAGCGACTGGCTGGCGCCGCGCCCGATGCTTCCGGAGTTGCGAACTCGGTCTTCGATTCCCTGGGGCCCGCGGTCCCCTGGGCCAATTGCGAGGTTGCCGAGCCCCCCAGGCGGTTGCGCGCGATTGTCTCGGAAACCGGAATTGGGCATCCATGGTGGACGCCCGCGCGCACGCGCTAGGTGTCCGCGAGATTGTTCGGCGGCGGATCTTGCATGGCGCGGGGATTTTCTAAAGACTTTCCGGGGTGTTCTCTACGGTTATTTCGGCGCGTTTCAGGAACCTTGGGGCGGCGCGGGGAAGTCGCCTGGCCGCGCGCGTGACTTGTTTTCCAATGCCGTCTTGGGCATTATCGCGGTGTTGCTTGGCCGAAGAGGTCACTGAGTAACGCGATGTTTGACATTTTCGTGTTTTTTCGTTGCGTTGGTTGCGCGATTGTTTTGGCGGTCCGCCTCCTTGGGGCCCCCTTTGGGCCTCAAATTTGTTTTGTTGACGTCGGGTCTTCTGGAGTGAAAGGCGCTTGGCGCTGAATTCCCTCGGTCGTGCGCGTGGCCAAATACGCGCCGTGGCTTCATCCGCGCCGGGGCGCTTGTCTTCCCTCGCGAAGCCGATGGCGCCCAAGGCATGGCAGGCCCGTTCGGCGGCGCCCCCGGTGATTTGAAAAACCGAGCATGATTTTTATCCCGGTCAAATTTTGCCCCGATCCCGGCTTCGTCTTAGGGTTGAAAGGACGGGGTCCATGCAAAGGGGGGTCAGCCAGAGCGCCGCATCTTGCAGGATCTGCAGGGCCAGGATTGCACTGGCCCGGATATGGCATGGGCGCAGGGCTCTGCAGGATCATGGAGGACCTTGCGAGAGCCTGCAGGGCCCGACTAGCCTGGATTTGGATTGACCCGGGTCCGAAGATCCCCGACTGGAGGGCGGGAGGCGTCGGGGGTTGCTAAAGGTGCCCCTGACCCAAGGTGCCCCCACCTTTTCGTTCGATTTTGCAGCCCCTGGGGCCATCTGGGCCGCGTGAGGAGTGCTCCGGGGGCCGTGGAGGCCTCCCTGGAAATGCTGGGGTCAATTTGGGCCAGGGGCTCCTGTAGCAACAGCCGAAGGAGGTGAGGAGAAAGAGAGAGAGAGAGAGTGAAGGGCAGGAGGGAGGAGGGGGGGGGGGGCGCAGGCGAGGGGCAGGTGCAGTGGAGGGGAAGAGCGGGCGAGTTGGCTGCGCGGTGTGCGTGGGGGGGGGGGGGGGGGGGGGGGGGGGGGGCGCGAAGCGGGGAGGCGCGTGCCACGACCACAAGCAGCGGCGGCTGTCGGCCGACGTCTGCTCGGCGACGCCCGCGGTCACCACCACGAGCGTCGTCGGAACCCGTACGGACACCACGACGCCGTACATGTACGTGGTGGACGTGCTGGAGATGTCCTCCCGATATTCCTCCTCCTCTGCCTCCTCCTCCTCCACTCTTCCCCTCCTTCCGCTCTCCTCCAGCTCCTCCTCCAGCTCCTCCGCCTGCTCCTTTCCCCGGTATCTGCTCCCCCTCCTCCCCCTCCCCCCGAGCAGCAGCAGCCCAGGAGATAACCGTCGACTGCAGCACCAGCACGAAGGCGCATATGGAGTCGGCTCTCGCCGCGTGGGCCGCTGACAAGCACAGCGTAGGGGTGAACAAGGTGATTCCTTCAGCCGTGATGTCTCCTTTTTCACCTGGTACTCCTCCTCCTCCTCCTCCTCCTGCTCCTCTCGCTCCTTTCCCGCCTCCTCCTCCTCTTCCTCCTCCTCCTCCTCCTCCTTCTCCTCCTCCTCCTTCTCCTCCTCACTCTCCCACCTCTCATTCTCCCTCTCGTCCCCTCCCATCTGGAGGTACTACATTATCTTGGGACCTGTCGTACCAGCTCCGCCTGGATGATAGTTCGGACTTGGCAGGCGCCCCTCCTGTTCAATTCGATGGGTGGGCCCACATGATGGCCACTTCGACCGATACGAACCGATCGACGATCGATCGATCCGGCATGTTTCTGCGATATGCGAATGCAGAGCGATCGAGAGAAACGGAGACGCTGAAATCGACAGGGGGAGAGAGAAAGAGAGAGAGAGAGAGAGAACGATAAAGAGAGAGGAGAGAGAGAGAGAGGGAGAGAGAGAGAGCGAGAGACAGGAACACCATTATATATGTAGTATGTATATTAATATATATATATATATATAGAGAGAGAGAGAGAGACAGACAGACAGACAGAAAGAGAGAGAGAGAGAGAACAGCACAACAAAAGAGAGGAGAGGTTGAGGGAGGATTCCGGTCGCAGTTGGTACACTGCACCGCAATCAGGGCAGCACTTGGGCGCCCTCTCGGGCCGGCATGGGCCCGTCTGAGAGGCCCGGCAGGCGCCATCGAGTTTCCTCCAATATCGGCATGACCTGGCCTGTGTTAGCCCTGGGCGTCACGTCCTTGGCAAGCCCGTGTGCGGTGCCTGCTTGCACGCGGTGGTTATGAGGCTCTGAAGAGAGACGCGCGGGCGTCTTGCCAAAGAGGCCCCAGCAATTTGGGCGAACATATGTTGTTGAGATCACTCTGGTCGGCACCATCTCGGCAGGTCAGAATGCGATGCTTCTAGCTCGGGGTGGTCATTGAGGATCAGCATGAATGAGTATGGCTGGTTGTGAGTGGGTCCAGTATCGGTGAATATGGTTTCGAGTGAGAGTAACTGGGCCCGAGTGGTCTGACTGTCGGAGTATGGCTGAATTTAATTATGAGTAAGTTCAAGTGTTGATTGAGTGCTACTGAATACGAGAAGGCCTGTGTACAAGTGTGTCTGAACTGACCAATTTGAGTATGAGTGCGTCTGAGTGCGAGTGAGGACAGGGGAGGACGGATAAGGAGTTGGAGGCGATAGCGCGGCTCCAATAAGATCCCATTCTCAGGGTATGCGAAGTAAAAAGGAAGAGGGACTCTTTAGATTATACGCTTACATTTTACAACTAGTAGCTAGTACATACATAAGGTGGAGAGACAAAGAGAAAAAAAAGGGAGAGAGAGAGAGAGAGAAGCAATGCGAATCATCTGTGTACCCATTTTTGATATGGGTCCTGGCCAATCCCCCCCCTGCTAAAACAGGTCTGTTCGGTACACCCCCCCCGCAGGGGTGTACCTCATTCTGCCTTTTCTGATTCGTCTCGTCATGTATTCCTTGTTCGCCTCCTTGCCCTAAACGTCCAGACGACCAGACGAGAGGTTGTGAGGATGTGTTGTGATGTGTTCTGTTGCTGTGAGGCTCTGTGAGGTTGTGTTGTGTTGTGCTGTGCTCTGTGAGGTTGTGTTGTGTGAGGTTGTGTTGTGTTCTGTTGCTCCCGCCTGAGAGGCCACCAATCTTTTCACTGAGAATGAAGCTCCCGAGTGAGAGGTCCCCAGAAATCATCAAAATCAAGCTCCCGCCTGAGAGGTCCCAAAAAACCCAAAGAAGAACCACCCCTCTCATCCTTGTAACTGTCCCAAGAAGCCAAAGTTTCAGGGGAGAGATCCTGAGGAAACGGGGGGGAGCAGGAGTTCTCCTCTGGAGCTTTTTGTTTTGTTTTGTTTTTTGCACAGTTACAAGGATGAGAGGGGTGGCTCTTGGATTTCTTTGGGTTTTGGGGGGGCCTCTCAGGCGGGATCCTGATTTTGATTATTTTTTGGTGGACCTCTCAGGCGGGAACTTCCTTCCGATTTTCAAACACGTCGTTCGGACGTTAAAAAAGGCGGAGGAGGAGAAGAAGGAGGAGGAAGGAGAGGAGGGGGAGGAGGAGGAGGAGAAGGAGGAGGATGAGAGGGAGGAGGAGAAGGAGGAGGAGAGGGAGGAGGGACGAAGGAGGAGGAGGAGGAGGAGGAGGAGGGAGGAGGAGGTGGGGGTCGTCGTCGCTGCAGCCGCTGCATTTGGTTTAGTTCTCGATTGGTTCCTCAGGTGACAATCATCCCGAATGTAATCCATTCGACTGCAATCAAACCGATTGTGATCCAATCGATCGCCAGCCCAAGGGTTTGCACCGGCACGATTGAAAGCCAATGGGTTGCATTCAAATCACTTCCACCCGAAGCGACTGAAATCATATGGGTTGCAATTGTTTCCGACGCATTGCAATCAAGTCGATTGCATTGAAACCGATTGCAGCCCCATACTCCTCCTCATACGCCTCAAGTTCCTCCTCATCATCATACGCCTCATTCTCCTTCTTGCCAAGGGTTTCACTAGGAATCCTTCTGTGGATGATTTCACTAGAGAACTTTCTGTGCAGGATTTCATGAATGCGCTAGGAATCTTTCTGTGCGGAATTTCCATCGGAATCCTTCTGTGGATGATTTCACTAGGAATCTTCTGTGAGGAATTTCACTAGAAATCCTTCCGTGGAGGATTTCAGAACGAATCCTTGTGTCGAAAATTCGAATGGGAACCCTTCTGCAAAGGATTTCAATCGGAATCCTTCTATTGAGGGTTTCCTCCCTCCGCCTCCTTCACCTCATCCGCCTTATCTTCCTCCTCATCCGCCTCATCCGCCTCATTCGCCTTCGTTGAAGGGTTTCGCTAGGAATCCTTCTGTGGAAAGTTTCAGTTGGAATCCCTGTGGAGGATTGAAAATTTAGAGTGGAATATTTCTGGAAAGGATGTCAATAGGAAAGGTTTTCAAGCGGAATCCTTCTGTGAAGGATTTCAATAGAAATCCTTCCTGTGGGAGGTTCTAATCGGAATCCTTTCGTGAAGGATTTCATTAGGAATCCATGCATCGAAGACAATAGGAATTCTTCCACTGAGGCCAACGGAGACCCTGCGAACGACAGCGAAAACGATTTCAAGGTTTTCCGTAGGAGCTTCAATAGGCATTCTTTCGTTAAGGATTTCGATCGGAACCTTTCTGTGAAGCATTCAGCAGGACTCTTTCTGTAGAGGGTTTGACTCGAAATCCTTCCACCTTCCTCGTCCTCGTCCGCCTCCTATTCCTCCTCATCCTCCTCCTTTTCCGCGTCATTCTCCTTCTCGTGAGGGGTTCCAATAGGAATCCTTCTGTAGAGGATTTCACTCGAAATCCTTCTTGTGGAGGGTTTTAATAGGAATCTTTCTGTCGAGGATTTCAGTCGGAACCCTTCTTGTGAAGAATTTCACTCGGAGTCCTTCCGTGGAGGATTTCGCTCGGAATCTTTATGTGCAGGGTTTCTATAGGAATCCTTCTGTGGATGATTTCACCAGGGATCTGTTGTGCGCGATGTCACTAGGAACCCTCTGTGGAGGATTTCAGAACGAATCCTTGTGTAGAGAACTCTATCAGGAACCCTTCTTTAGAGGATTTCAATAGGAATCCTTCTATTGAGGATTTTCTCGCTCCGCCTCCTTCACCTCATCCGCCTTGTCTTCCTCCTCCTCCTCATCCGCCTCATTCGCCTTCGTTCGAAGGGTTTCACTAGGAACCCTTCTGTGGAGAATTTCAATCGGAATCTTGCGGAGGATTTCAAGTGGAATATTTCTGGAGAGGATGTCAATCGGATTTTTTGTGTGAAGGATTTCAACCAGAATCATTTTGTGAAGCATTTCCATAGGGATCCCTGCGTCGAAGACAGTGGGAATCCTTCCTTTTAGGCCAGGGGAGATTGCGAACGACAGCGAATACGATTTCAAAGATTTCTGTCGGAACTTTTCGGTGTAGGATTTCAATACGAATTCTTTCGATGAGGATTTCAATCGGCTCTTCTGTGAAGGATTCAACAGGACTGTTTCGGTGGAGTGGTTCGATAGCAATCCTTCCCTCCTCCTCGTCCTCATTCGCCTCCTACTCCTCTTTATCCTCCTCCTCATCCACCTCATTCTCCTTCTCGTCTTCTTGTGAGGGGTTCTAATAGGACTTCTGAATTTTTAGGATTTCACTCGAAACCCTTCTTGTGCAGGCTTTCACTAGCAATCCTTCTGTAGAGGATTTCAATGGGAACCCTTCTTCTGAAGAGTTCCACTGTGAACCTTTCAGTGGAGGATTTCACTCGGAACCTTTCTGTGCAGGATTCCAATAGGAATCCTTATGTGCGCAATTTCGCTAGGAATCTTTCTGCGCGGGATTTCAATAGGAACCCCTTTGTGGATGATTTCAAAAGGAATCCCTGTTTCGAGACTTCCAATAAGAATCCTTCTATGGATGAATTCACTAGAAATCTTGCTGTGCAGGATATCCTTCCTCCCCCTCTGCCACCTCACCCACCTCATCTTCCTCCTCCTCCTCCGCCTCGTTCGCCTTCGTTTAAAGGTTTCACTCGGAATCCTTCTGTGGAGAA